AGTAGTGTGTGTGTGTGTGTGTGTGTGTGTGTGTGTGTGTGTGTGTGTGTGTGTGTGTGTGTGTGTGTGTGTGTGTGTGTGTTAGTAAAGAAAAAAGTATCTATGGAGGTAAAGGGAAGGCAGTAAAAATACAGATTGTACAAGCCGGGTGAAGTGTCATTGGCTTGAGAGGGTCAGGTGATGCAGAATGAAGGATGATGGGTAGAAATTAGAGTGCGCCCATTCCAGTGACCTCAGACGTCAGCCTAGAATAGACAAAGGGGAAAGGGGAGAGATAAAAACAAACAGCAGGATTAGAAAAGAAAATGAAGATTTTGTGGCATACTCACAAGTCCTCTTTTCCGCTGTCTCCTACTCACTCTTCCCTTTCTGCCAGGGCAACCTGCCAGCTAAGGTGTTCATTCACCAGCCTGGGAGTGACACCACAGTCAAGACTGCATTTTAAAATGGGTCTAAACTGGAGGCAATAATGTCTGCTGGTCTCCAAGAGCAGGTGGCAATCAGTGAAATTCCCCACAAGGTTAGTTTTATGCCCATTGAAATGTCAAGGAACCTCTTTGGTTTCTTTCCATAAACTTTTAGTGGAAAGTCTCTGAATTGGGACTCCAGATGGCTGCTTTCCTTGGCACCCCTGCTTTCGTTGTTGACCAACATCTCTTTAAAAAGATGGTCAATCTACACAAAGTGCAGTAGAAAGGTGACCCTTGAGATCTCATCCAGTGTGGGGGGGGGGTCAAAAAAAAGAGAGAGAGAGGTTGGACTAGGGTGATTTTTAGACATAATTCACATAATGAATTGAAGTTTATGGCACTGTGCATACAAGCCTGATATATATGATCCTGGGCACATGCAAGCCTGATTAGTTGGTGAGGAGGGACCTTGAGATCACCCAGGCCTGACTGATTGGCTGGGCACACAAAAATCATTTCCTGTCGGGAATTATCAGTGATTATCCTACAGTGCACGAGAACTCATGCACAGATGCTGACAGATAAAATATTTTCCTTCAGCAGCTGCACTTGTACTGTCACAAAGGTCTGCATCCCCCACACCTATGAACCATTACAAACCTTGGAAATGAACGCACACCGACTCCATTGTGAAGCAGCAAGGGTTGCTACCCACACAGCACACTTGACATAAGCCCACAACAACATGGAGATGAAAAGTTAAGCCACCTAACAGTACATACCCTCTACTCTTCCTCTGAGGTGCGTACTTTGCCACTATCATATCTCTTGTACACCACAGACCCCACAACCTTAACTCTGCCCCCCTGGATGCTAGCCTTCCAGCACCCCCTTTTGCATATGACCCTTTGCCAAACTACCCTCTCACAACACAAACAACTACCATTCCCAAAAACCTCCACCCACAACTACTAGTGTTGTGGGGGAAATAATCTGGTAAAGAGTGTGTGTAGAAGGACATAAGAAGGGGGCAGAATTAAGGTTGCACTATGTGTCCTGTGATGTACAGATCCATTAAGTGGCTTAACTTTTCATTTCCTTGCTTTTGTGAGTTTGTGTCCAGGTGTAGTGTGTTCGTAGCAACCCTAACTGCATCATAACAAAGGAGTTTATATATTACATTTCCTTTTGGTCTTTTCACATTGCCATAGATTTTAAAAAGTTGGGAGAAAATGATTTATTAACAATTTTGCTACATCCCAACTCCATCTCTTTCTCTGTGCTATTTGCAGCTGGAATTTAGATTGCCTAATAGTTATTATTAATAACAGCCCCACCTGCAAAGAAAGGAGAGTTTGTTTAAAGAGGCACTTAAAGTTAAAAGGAAGTTCTATGCCAGCAACTCAGACATGGTTTTCAAATGTGGCTTTGCAGCTAGGGAAGGACAGACATTTCATAGGAGGCTGTAGGCAGTGTGCTAGTCTCTGCTCAAGGGAGACCTGGGACTTGACCAACAGAGGTGCTACAGGTCAGAATGCAGGTGCTGCAGCACAGCCGAGTGGGAAGGAGGGTTTAGGATAGAAGGGCAGAGGTTGGGACAGGTCAGAACTGAGGTTAGTTGGCACAGCCTCCATTATGGCAAAAACGCTCCACAGACCCTGCTTGCACTATACCTGAGCTAGCCAGTGCGATCAGTCCCTCGCCTGGATGAGCACCAAAGTCATGAAGTTACTAAGAGAAGAGCACTTCTCGGGGGGCATTCTTACTGCAGGTTCATCCTGACAGGGTGATGGGGCAGGTGGAGAAGGTAATAAATGTGACGGGTAAATGCTAAAATCCCAGTGACCTCTCATGATTGGCTGGCATGATACAGACTCTGCCCTGTGTGGAAAGATTTGATAGTCAACCTAGCTGTATGAACTCCTTCTGCAACTGGTCCCTTTCTAATGTTAATGTGATGCATTGTTCAAGGAGCTCCTAAATAGAAAACTATCACATTTCCTGTGAGGTCCGGTCTACTCTCGCCACCTGTGCATTTGTACGCAGACACAAAAAGTCTGACTAAATCCAGCCCCCTCCCCTTTTCCTCCTTGAGACTCAGTTACAGCTTGCATTCTGGGATAAACTCAACCAACCACACCCAATTACAGCCCTCTTAAAAAACATGTTTTACTCAATGGCCCACACTTGCACGTTCACGTTTGCACGACTAGGCTTTGCTCAGTGCATCCGTGCCCCCCAGTGAACCATAGACACTGTTATGACTCCAGTTTGGGTCAATGTTAATAGTGAACATTCACCATCAGTTCAGCTACTAATTATCTTCATGAAATCTTCGGTCTCAAATGTATCGCATGTGTGCTATTATTACAAGAAAATAAACAGGCGGTTTCATTTTTTTTATTTATTGGTCTAATTTGTTTGAAAGAGGAAGACATTTCTGAGTCTTGGAAACACATAAAAGAGGCACCTGGGACTTAACATTTAGCATTTGTTCTTCTTTATATTTTTGTCACGTGGACAAAGGGGCTAAATGAACTGTTTTCAAATTATGCCCTCTCCCCCAAAACAGATAACTTCCCTCACCCTGGCTGAGAACTCACCATGCTTTTGAGGGAAAATAATATTACACCCTAATTATAAACTCCTGCCAACGAGGGTACAACTATAGAGATGTTAACAGCCCCATAACTAGAGCAACACATAAGCTGTGGCCCTGAGTTATAACACTGAGAAAATGGCTGAGTTGTCATTAGGAAGGTTTTCCTGGGAGAAAGGCCCAAATCGATGATATAATATTCCCACTCACTTTGAATATCATCAAACAATAAAATCACCAGTGTGTTCACTTCATGCAGTGCCCTGAAACCTAATGAAATCACTCCCATGAAAGTAATGCTTGGAGTATACGTTACTGTCTGAGTTTTGTATGACTTATTCTATTGGCCTCTCTCTTTACAGGGAGGTCATGAGACTGCGGTGGATGAATGTGGCCTTGATTCGCACATCTCACCTGGCGTTGATGAGGTACTGGGCAAGGCTGATGTTAGCTGGGGTTCCTGTGATGGTAATTTGACGTTCCGATGAGCCTTCTGTGGCATTGGCGATTTTGATCTGCGCTCCAGACATCTGTCGAATTTCATTGATTTTGGTCCCTTGGCGTCCGATTATGCATCCTATTAGCTAGAAAAAAGTATGGAGGGAATTTCTTAAAGCAGACCTTCAGGCAGTAACTTGCAGGATGCAAGCATGATCACATGGTGAGGTTCATAGGGGTGGTCAGACAACTCATCATTTCTGCTAAAGGATGTGAGTGACTTTAATGCTCATGAAGGCAAGAGACTAAAAGCACTGGTTTAAGCCATAGGTAATATGAGCAATTTCCTGCCCAAAGCTCTGCCATTGTGAGTTCATCCCGACCTGCAATAACCTGGGGCTATTTCAGTCCTTTGGTTCTTTTGAGCAGAGACTGCTAGTTGTACTGTGATTATGCCAACTAGTGCTGAGGGCTAAGATACAGACATATAGCACTATGTCACCAAACTCAATTTCAGTTGTGTCATCAGCTGGTTGGAACGTACCAGAGGTGAAAGGCTATCTATCTGCATTGTGATTTTAATGTGTGGGAGAGTTACGGCGTTTAAAATGATGGGTTACTGAACTTCTGCCAAATCATCAAAGACATCATCTGCTTCTGCCTTCTCCTTCACTTTCTTTTAATGAGAGTAGCTACACTTCGAATCAGCATGAACGGGTCTGTCCTGTCCCTGACACCTTCCTGGGTCAGTCTGCCTCTCCACATTGAGTCAATCCCATGATAAGCAGATCCTAGAGGTCTCGATCTAAACAGGTCTGAAGTGGCCTGAGCTCACAAAGGTGAATGTCAGAAAGAAGGTGGCGGTATTTATTTTTGTGCTAGTGAAAGATATCAGGTTGACAGCACTAGAGCCTGACGTTCTCTATTCCCAGAGAAGATACATTACAGACATATGCTTCACACGGTTCCTCAGCCCTTTTCTGGAAAGGTCAGCTATAGGGATGAGAAGGTCAGTCAGGTCTCCATTCCCATGCACTTGATAATGTCTCACATCAGACTGCCCTCAATGGTTAGGTGTTTACAGAAGGAATACCAGTCTACTTATAAAAAAGAAGAACAGGAGTACTTGTGGCACCTTAGAGACTAACAAATTTATTAGAGCATAAGCTTTCGTGGACTACAGCCCACTTCTTCGGATGCAGTCTACTTATGACAGCAGTGAGCTCACAAACTTCCTTTGCATAGGCCCCCAAGGGAGAAATTTATCAACAGTAAGAGGAAAGAATAGATAAACAAAGTGAGGGGGAAAACTGAGAACCAGGAACGTGAGAGGAGGATTTCTGAATGTTGCTGGGTTATTTTTCAAGAAAATCAAAACACTGCCAGAGTGGCTACTTTAAGGTACAGAAGTAAGGAAAGCGTGTCTATCTCCAGAGCTTCCCCACTGTGTTCGAAACAGTCAAAGAGAGCTAAATAACTTTGGGCCTGAGAAGTGGTGGTGAGGTATGCTAAGGAGATTTGCAGTGACCTGGTCACATTAAATATTCAGTTTTTCTGCCTTTCATCAATGGCATTCCCTCAGACTTGGTGAATGACATGAGAAACAGACAGAGGGCAAGATTAGGAAACTCAGAATGGAGACACTTTACTGAAGCTCTGCTCACATTCCTGCAGTACCCGAATTTCATTGTTTCAGTGCTGAACATTTTAGCAGAAAGAATTAATGGCCTCATTGGGCTTCAGAGCTAATGCATCATTGAGCTAACTAGGCATTGTTCACACCTGGTAAGTGACTGCTGTAGCCTACCTGTAGATTTCACAGGACAACACTGTGTATATTCATTAGAGCTCTCAAGCGATTAAAAAAATTAATTGCGATTAATCACACTTTTAAACAATAATAGAATAGCATTTATTTAAATCATTTTGGATATTTTCTACATTTTCAAATATATTGATTTCAATTACAACACAGAATACAAATTGTACAGTACTCACTTTATATTTATTTTTGATTGCAAATATTTGCACTTGAAAAAAAGAAAAGAAATTGTATTTTTCAATTCACCTAATTCAAGTACTGTAGTGCAATCTCTTTATCATGAAAGTTGAACTTAGAAATGTAGAATTATGTACAAAAAAACTGCATTCAAAAATAAAACAATGTAAAACTTTAGAGCCTACAAGTCCACTCAGTCCTACTTCTTGTTCAGCCAATTGTTCAGACAAACAAGTTTGATTACAATTTGCAAGCGATAATGCTGTCCGCTTCTTGTTTACAATGTCCCCGGAAAGTGAGAACAGGCATTCCCATGGCACTGTTGTAGCCGGCGTTGCAAGATATTTATGTGCCAGATGCGCTAAAGATTCATATATCTCTTCATGCATCAACCACCATTCCAGAAGATGTGTCTATGCTGATGACAGATTCTGCTTGATAACGATCCAAAGCAGTACATATAGACACATGTTCATTTTCATAATCTGAGTCAGATGCCACCAGCAGATGGCTGATTTTCTTTTTTGGTGGTTCGGTTTCTGTAGTTTCTGCATCGGAGTGTTGCTCTTTTAAGACTTCTGAAAGAACGCTCCACACCTCGTCCCTCTCAGATTTTGGACAGCACTTCAGATTCTTAAACCTTGGAGTGAGTGCTGTAGCTGTTTTTAGAAATCTCACATTGGTATCTTCTTTGCCTTTTGTCAAATCTGCAGTAAAAGTTCTTGAAACGAACATGTACTGGGTCATCATCCGAGACTGCTATAACATGAAATATATGGCAGAATGCAGGTAAAACAGAGCAGAAGACATACAATTCTCCCCCAAGGAGTTCAGTTACAAATTTAATTGAGCATTATCAGCATGGAAGCATGTCCTCTGGAATGGTGATCATGAAGGGGCATACAAATGTTTAACATATCTGGCACATAAATACCTTGCAATGCCGGCTACAAAAGTGCCATGCCAATACCTGTTCTCACTTTCAGGTGACATTGTAAATAAGAAACAGGCAGCATTATCTCCTGTAAACGTAAACAAACTTGTTTGTCTAAGTGATTGGCTGAACAAGAAGTAGGACTGAGTGGACTTGTAGGCTGTAAAGTTTTACATTGTTCCATTTTTGAGTGCAGTTACATAACCAAAAACAATTCTACATTTGTAAGTTGCACTTTCATGATAAAGTGATTGCACTACAGTACTTGTATGAGGCGAATTGAAAAATACTATTTCTTTTGTTTATCATTTTTACAGTGCAAATAATAATATAAAGTGGGCACTGTACACTTTGTATTCTGTGTTGTAACTGAAATCAATATATTTGAAAATGTAGAAAAAATCTAAAAAGATTTAATAAATTTCAATTGGTATTCTATTGTTTAATGATGCGATTAATTTTTTGGAGTTAATTACGTGAGTTAACTGTGATTAACAGACGGCCCTAAAATTCATATTTAGAAAGTTAACCTTACAACCATGAGGACTGAACACTTTTTAAAGCTGAAGTGCTGGTATAGAATTTCACTGTCTCAGCTCCACCCAAACTCTGAATGCAAACACTGAATCATTCATTGACAGCAAAGTTAATTCTAGCCTGCAGGTGGTTCACTGAGATCAGCAGTTGAGGTATAGGTTGCACGGCTTTCCACAGAATGCAAGGATTTTCCTTACAATATAACCCCACTCTGGCATTTTGATCTAGTCCTATATAAAGAATCCAGGACTGGATGCAACTACCAGGTCAGTCACAAAGTTATGAACACAAAGCTTTGATGTGTTATGATGCAGCTTGGAATTTGCAGTATTTGAAGAAAACTGCAAATATTCCCCTCATAGTCACCTGGGAGTGCAGGGTCTGGCTCATTTCCAGCTGAATGGCACTAATACATTTCTCACTAACACCACCCACATTTTTTCCTATTGGAAATTTGTAGTCAAATTCAGAGTCAATTGCCTCAGGTGTGGAGTCCAGTAAGTTCAGAGGTAAGAGAAGTCCCCTGTTACTGCGTGGGTATGCTGCTGTTCTAAATGTTATCAGTTCTCAGTCCAGGAGTATTTGCTCAAAGCACGTTCAACCCCTGAACCTCTTCAGGACCAACACTGATAATCGTGCTGAAGATGTCAATAGTGTGTATACTGGCTTGGTAAAATGAGTCTTGATCAACTAATGGAGGAACAAAGTTCTCCCACCTCATTCCAGTTAGGACCTGAAGTTAGAATTGAACGGAGCTCCTGGATTTTATCCACTCACAGCGTCCCTCCATACCCAGCCAAGCTGAAACTGCTCAGCGGAGTCATACAATTAGAAGAAAACAGGAGGTCACTTACCACTGGAGTCCTTTCCCCTCCTCAGGAGGCTCCTTAGGACAAGTGTCCCATCAGGAGGTGAGGTGACACATTTTCAGTAGTTCTCAATAATTACTCCTACCCCCCTGCCCCAATTTCCTCTCTCTCTCGCTCTCGCTCTATCTGTATGGGGATCAGAAACAGCCTATGACAATAGACTCTCCACTACAATTCTCAAGAAATGTGGGGCTAGAGCCTCAGCTGGTGTAAACTGACCTAGCTTCACTGCTTTCAATAGGACTTAAGTTAAGCTTGAGCTTCCGTCCTTTGCTGACTTGGGGTCAAAGTAGACAACAAAGTTGTTATAGGGAAACCGTATCTATTTAAAAATACGCTTATCTTAAAGATTAAGAAATCAGATTTTACCTTATACCACTTTTTAAGCCTCAATTTTCCAAATGGGCCCAACAAGGGCCTCTAAGATTTGCACTCCCTACAGAGGTGAAAGTGGTCTGGTATGGGCCGGTACGGCGTACCAGTAAGAAGTGGCTGCCGGTACAGGCCCGTACACAGCTGATGTTAAAGCGCTGCCCCTTTTGCCCCTCCCTCTCCCACAGGGCCACCAAGGGGGGAGAGGGGCAAAAGGGGCAGCTGCCCCGGGGCCCAGCGATTTAAAATCGCCACCGGAGCCCTGGGCGGCGCGGGCCGGCTAGTGCAGAAGGGCTGGCTGGGGGAGGTTGACCCCCAAGCCCCACCCCTTCCACCTAGGCCCCGCCCCTTCCACCCGAGGCCAGGCCCCTGTACCAGTAAGCCTTTTATGTTACTTTCTCCCTGACTCCCTGTCATTTGTGTGTGCAAATTATA